CCTTTGCTTATGGAATGAAGCCTGTTCAAAGCCATCTTTTCAGAGTGGTGGTGGCATTTCCTGCAGAGCACTCTTGTGCTGCTGTGTAATTCAGTGGTGTCACTGTGGGGAGTGGCCAAGTAGCCAAGACCTTTACAGCCTGAAAAACTGTTCCTTAGTGCTAGGTTGTCTTTACCATATTATTTTAGACTTCTGCAGTTTGTTAAGATCAACTTAATTTTTGGCATGATCTCTGCTGTTAAAGATATTCTTGCAGACATCTTTTTTTTGGGGGGGACTCATTTGCTGGTATAGGAAAAGTAATATGTTGGTTGCAGGATGGGGTTAATCCTTATTAATGTGGTTTCTTAATTTTTTCAGCTTCTTGAGGAATCTTTGAACTGCTTGTATTTTTGACAGAGGATTAATGTCAATAAGAAATGTAAAATCAGGATATCACAAACCTCCTCATTCCTATGCTGTCACACCATGCTGCTCCCCAGAGAAGGGAGGCAAAGGAGACAGCATACATCTAGGTCTCAGTAAGGAAAAATGAAAAGGTTAGTTTAGATTTTCTATCCCCATAAATGCCTGTGTCAGGCTAATGATTCAGCAACTCAGGAGCTTCAGTTTGAATTTAATTAATAACATTGGTAAATTTTGTACCTTCTGTCTAACCATGAATGCTTTTGACCATCAGCAAACAGAAGACAGAATTCATGCCAGAACAAATAAATAATTTATTTGTGTGGTTTTAAAAAAGAGAAAGAAGCTGTTCCTGGCCCTTTACAGTGCAGGTGTGCAGGTTCTGCACAGCATTAGGTTCTAGCACTGTTTTTTCTAGCTTTTTTCTTTTAGCTTTCAGTTTTCCAGCACTACTGATTCTCTTTAATTAAAGAATAAACAAAAGCGCAGGTCACCTTAAAGGAGGATGTCTAAAAAAGGGAATATCTGAAGTATCTGAAATACAAGCTTATAGCTTACTGGCTGCCAGTCTGCCTTTCCTTAGTGTTGTGGTAAGGTCTTCTTAACTCATTACTCATTCAGGAACTTGACTTTTTCTTAGTCCCTCCTCATTAAAGCCGAAGACATGTAAATCAGTTTATTTATTTTACTTTCTCTGAGATACAGCTTTTTCTCTTCTACACATGCTGGAAAGCAGCAGATAAGGAGTAGGGACCAGATTCTAGTCAAGATTTAATGTCTGAAATTGTCCCATAGCTGCCTTGCACAGCGACTGCAAGATACTTTGGGAAGTTAGTGCTGCTTATGCCGAGTACCTCAGTGCTCATCCAAGAGGAGCAGCTGTGAAGTGGTCTCAATATCAGGGACAAAATGGAATGGCCGAAAAACTTGGCTGGGGAGCTTCTGGCAGGCTAACTCAGCCTTCAGAAACATTTTGGGGTCACAACTCTTCTTGTCAGGGAGGGAGAAACTGGAAATGTACCGTTTTGTCACATAAGCCAGAGTCCCATAGGCACAAATATATATCACATTTTTGTGTGATTATAGATTCCTGTTTAAGAACAGTTTCTGGCAGAACACTCACTTCCTTTTGCTGTGCATGGTGACAAATTGTTAGAGATTTTATTAATGTCTTTGTATGAGGAATTCAAACTTGAGAACTGGGAGAGACTTGTTTTGTACCTCACAATTATCATGTCAAGCATTTAGTCCATTTAGATGTCATTTGTGTTTTAGCAGGGTATGCCATTCAAACTAGAGAATGTAGATACTTGGCATTTCTCTCTCAAATTACACAGGTCATAAGTGTGTGCCACAAGCAGCCAAATTCCTCAACTTTTCAGGCTGTACGTGCAATGAGATCGCATTATGTCTGTTCTGAAATTTGGGGTGGGGTAGAGAGGAAGCACTTAAAATTTAAATCTGAAAAATCTAAATTTTCACTTTCTGCGCCGTTTTCTGAAGGAGCACAAACCTGTTTTGGGTCTGGAGCAGTGGTTGCCAGTGAAGCCAACCTGCCTTTAGGCAGCTGTGACAGGCAAAATGCAGCATCCCGTACCAAGCTGCTCAGTGCAGAATTCTAGCATCAGTCGGAAACATTTGCTTTTTCTGTTTGACAAACTCCTGTGCATTCCTTGGGATGCATTTTAGGTGCTCTGCAGAGAGCAGTCCCATGGCCTGTTTGAGGAAAATCCCAATGTTTCCTGAAGGGTCCTGGAATATGCCAGATGCGGTTCAGAGCTGAGACAGAACAGCCGTGCTCCTGGAGAGTCTGGCAGACAGCATTTCCCTGTCACGGCTGGACATCAGCACATGAGCTTACAGCATTCAGAATTTCTTAATATTTCCAAAACAGAATTACTTGCAAGATTTATGGGAGCAAAATATCTTCTAACTTGCTCCCTTTTTTCCCATATGGATATAATATTTCCCCAATACTGTTCTTCCTCCTTCTTAAATGAAGCAAAAGTATGAATTAAAAATCTGTTTCCCTGGCCCTGTATACAGGAGTATTAAGTATTACCAAATAATAGCAGCTAGTCTAAGGCTATTGTGTTCTTTGCTAGAAAAATCCCTACATTTACTTGTAGCAAATATAATAAAAAGGTCAATGGTCATTTCACCCTTTTTGGCATCACTTTGCTGCCCTGGTTGTTACATGCAGAAGCGATACCATAGAGCATTGGATCAGTCATGCCTTGAGCTTCAGCTGATTTTGGGAACTCCCCTGTGTTCCCGGTGGTTCAGGGAATCTTAGGAGGATGTGACTTTCCTCCTGGTTTTACCAGGCACCTTGTAAATGGGAGTCTGCATCGGGGAGAGGCACTCCTTACTCCACATCATACTAAGCTGTCTTTTCCAGATTTGCATGTATAAATAACACCAGCTTCTGAGTTAGGCCTGACCTTATAGCCTGTGCCTTCTTTCTCATGCTGTGCTTTTGAACAGGTGAACTGAGTTGGCAAAGGTTTTATTTACATTGCAATGAGTATCCTCTTGCATCCTCTTATTTCTTGAGGAGAGAAAAAAACCTGTTCATATATGCATATTCTGAAGTGTCCAAGTTTTTCCTGGAGGCTGCATGTCGCTGCAGCAACCAGAGTAGCTTGGTGACCTTGCAGAGCAGCCCCAAGGTGCTGGTGAGCCCCAGGAAATGTCCCTGTCCCCAAGGTCCCTGTTCTCCCCAGCTGCTGCCTGGGGAGAACAGGGACCACTCTGTGGGACCTGGCTTCTACTGAGAGTTCAAGGGGTGGCTGTAAAGGAAGGGCTGTGAACACCTGTGCTGTAGCCCCTCAGTTTATAAAAGCTCTTGCATTGCATGACAGTCCTGCAAAGATTCCTCCTGTTGATGTTGGAAGGAGGTGGAGATAAGTCCCTGGAGAACACCCAGGGAAACATAATAATTATGCTTTGGTGCACCAAGATGTGTGAGAAAACACTGAACTAATTTGTCAGGTTATTTAAGCTTTTAGGATATTTTCAGAGTAAATGTGTTACAGTTAATACTGTATTGTTCTTTATTTGTTTTTAAATAGGCTTGTGGGGTGTTTTTATTTGAAAGTTTTAGAAGCTCTAATATATCTAACATACCTCTTCCACCTTTTCCCAGATAAAGTTATATATATGCTTTTGTATTCTCAGCTCTGGAAAAACATTCCTTTCCTTCTAGATCAGCCATGTCATATGTGCATCTTGCTTTTATGGTTATAGATGATCTTATTAAAGATTGCATGAGTGGATGTGAAGCAGTATGCATGGGTGAATCTGAGTCTTCTAGTTTTGTTAAATCTCTTGGGCTCTTTCCCCTTTCCATAGATTTCTGCATCTGTTATTTACTGGGCATCTATGATAGGACTTCACTTTGATCAGTTTATAATTTAGATTTTGTTCTGTTCTTTCCTCACTGTGCTGCTGTTTGAAATTGTTGCTCTGTACCTGGCTGTGGCACAGTGTAGCTGAGTTTATCCTAAATCATCTAGTTCAAGGCCAAAGGTTATCTGATTGCTTCAATAGTTGTGTGCTGAGTACAGAAACAGCCTGGAGGGAAGCTAAACCCGTGGGTTACATCTGTCCTGCTCCCATGTGTAGGTTGGCCAAGCTGGATCTATTTCAGGGGCATGTACCTTGCTCTGCAGTGGAGGTGTTTTCTCTCACTCTGAACATGGAGTGCATTTCTTTTCATGGTGGGATTGATTTTGATCCAGAACATCTCTGCCACTGTTTTGATACAATTGAATGAACACATTTCTAATAGAATCAGCTACTTTTTTGTATACTTGATACACTCAGAAATGGTCCCATATGGAAGTTAATGTTTCTATATTTGCTAACTGTTTCCTTTTCTCTGGCCACTGTAGCAATCATTTTTAGAAGAGACAAATTTTTACTAGCTGCTGTGTTTGTGTGGTGAGGGTATAATTAGGATAGTGTATTTCCATAATGACATGGTTAAGAAGGACTAGGTCTCTCTTTTGTAGGGGATTCTGGATAGATCATAACTGTTTGGTTTGGCAGGGATGTCTCTTGAATCATTTATATGTTAATGAATGCAGAAGAAGGCACTGAATTTCCATTTCCTTTCTCTGTAAACTACAAGCTGTTTCATGTCTCCTGAACTGTTTTCTTTCTTGCCTGTGTGGTGATAGCTGCTGTGTATGTGCATGAGTGAGGCCAAAGCAGCCTCCTCACACATTCACACAGCACAAAAATTGCCTTGGGCTCACAAAGCTGGAAGTTAAACTGCCTAAACCCTGCTTGCAATTTACAAATTATTGTAGCTAAGTTAATAGCCAAACTGTACTGGGGCAGTTCTAAATTGTTGAGTGGAAGTGATCGCTAGGTTCACAGCTTGAGTGATTTGAGTGTCCTTGTGGCACAAATTCTGACAGGTTTGTTTCACTGCAGTCATCTCTGGGTAATGGTAAAATCTTCCACATTACTCTGTTGCCAGTGACAATGTAGAATCAGCACTTAGGTATGGATTCTCTCAACATTTCTGCAGAAGTTTATCCTTCCTAGTTCAGGAGTTAATTTCTTTCTCATTTTGGTTTTCTCAGGTTCTCGAAGCCGGCACCAATGTTCTTGGATGATTCCTTCAGGAAATGGGCACGTATCAGGGACTTTGTACCCCCCTTTGGAATTAAAGGACAAGGTATGAGAAAACTGTAGCTGATGGATAAGAAGGAGGTTCTGCAGATGCTTGCCCCGTTTTCTTTTCTGTTTTGAAAACTCAGGTGGTCCTTTGGGCTCAGTTTATTTCCCCTGTTTGAGAGAATTATTGTATATGTAGTTCTCAGAAATGCAGAAGGGTTTTTACAGCTGGACTGTGGACCTTGGAGGCTGGCCTTATAGAAGATGGTTTAGTACATGTGTAGAGTCAGTGCAACAATGGCAATTTAGACCAATGACTGCATTCTTGAAGAAGCATTTTGATATTGGCTGCCAGAGAACCTTGTAGCAGCTTTGTTGACAGCAGCAGAGAGTTCAAACTGGTTTGAAGTACCTTTAAGTCAGTAATTCTACAAAGAACAGGAAAGATGCCTTGGGCTTGACCACTGATACAAATCTTCATTTTCTTCTCATAGAATTTTATAGTTGGGCTACTTATTTCCTTACATAACAAGTAAGAAAAGTATGTTCAGATGCTTTGATGATTATTTTAATATGCCTTGTCCTCCAGCTGGAGCGAGGCAGCAGGGGCTGTGTCTCAGGTGTGATGTGGGAAAGCAGGAGTGGTGGCTGGTGGATGAGATGGGAGCCAGTAGCCCACCCAGATGATGATCTGTTTTGGGGTGACAAGCTCCTACCTGTCCCACGTGCTGTCACAGCATCTCTGTCCAAGTGGTGGTGGAGCAGAAGGCTTGTGCTCTCTGCAGTGATTTGCTGTGGACTGTCTGACGTCCTGTGTATTTAAGAACTTTTTGTGGCACTGCATCATCTTGGAAGATTACAGATAATCTTGTAGGTTAATTTATTTAAATTAATTTAAATACCTGGTGGAGAAAGAACTGCAGCCCCAGAAAGCTTGGTTCTGTGTCTCTCCCTAGAAGCAGGTGTGGTAGTTGTCAGAACAATCTCTGATCAAGTCAAAGGCTCTACTGACAAATTGCTTTTGGCTTGCATCAGTTCCCTTCTTTGTTTTGTCCATTCCTTGTCCACTCAGTCTTTTGCAGCTCAATAGGATGCTAATTACTGTCCTCTAAATCAGCCAGCAGAGTTTGCAGCAGAGAACTAACAGTGGCAGCACAAGTGGGAGGCTGCTGTGGCCACAGGAGGGCTCGTCCCCTTCTAACCAGCACACAAGGTGTACAAAGCTAGGGCAAGGTGCCTGGCCAGGGTGGAGGTGGGGTTTGCAGGTTACGTGTGATGTCAGCTGGACCTAATAAAAATCATTCCATTAAACTGAATCCAAATGGAGGAATTCACCAAAAAAGAATGACAGAATGGCTCTGGCAGCCTTCTCTCTGGGTTTGTTGCCAGATTGTATCACCACTGCAATGTTATGTAAATCTGGTGTTTTATATTGGATTTCCTCAGTTAAAAAGAGAAATGAGAAATTGCCATTATTTAAATGGCTGTGAGCTGAAGCCATGGGACAGAAACTGTTGAATAGGTTATTTTTTTAACACCCTCCTGGGACTGAATTTTGTGCCAAATTTCACTCCGGAGCAAGTTCTGTGTGTGGGAGGGTTGAATTATAAATCTGTGTAGCCCCGGATTTCTAATGGCCGTGCTGACAGGCTGTGAGTTCTAGCGATTCGAATGGCGCCCTTTCATGTTACACATCACTTGGAATTCTCGCATCAGTCTTTTCTGGCTGTCCCATGGGATGCATTTGGGCTCAGACGACTGATTGGATGATGGGATCAGCACCTCATTAGGGCTTTCAGTCAGGGCAGTCTAATGATATCCAAATAAACGATCCAGGCAGGCAGCGTGGGGCTCAGTGATGTGCTGGTGCAAGGTGAAGACTCTCAGAGCTGGGATGTGCACAGGAAAAGGAGTGTCATCTCATAGTCAGGGTGGCTGTGTTGAGGGAGATGGGGCAGGAGCTCTGCTCTGTGTTAGGCAGCCCCACGACACTGTCAGCTGGGATTTCCGACATGCATCACACTGGGAAAGGTGGTTGGTGTTTGTAGACACTGACTGCAGCTGAGATGGTAATGGCAAGACCTTGCTGAGAACTATGGTGAATATCACCTGCTGGTTTTAAGTCACTGTGATCTATTCCAAGTGCAAAAAATGGCTTTTTGTTTTTTTTAAGTCCTTTTGGGTTTGCATTTTTTGTGTGTGAAATATGGCTACAGGATTGAGTTTACTTTCAGTAATGCTGCATGTTCCAAGCAATTTCATGAAATTAATCTGTGGTAGCTTGGAAGTGCTACAGTTATGAAATCAAGGTATTCTTGGTAGCTTGGAAGCTAATCAATCCACCATTTTTGCTTTCTCTTGTTCAAGTTTCTATTCTTACCTAAGTTTTGCTTTGTCTCTGAAAAAAAGCTGAAGTCCTTTTTTATCCATCACTTTGTGTTTACTGGTCCAAGAAAGGACAGTTCCAAGATTGCAAGAATGAGTCTTGCAATATTTAGGGGAAAGCAGCTTTTGAGGAGTATTGTCTACAGGACTGCACTAATTTGGAATAACACGTCTCTATAAATTACATGTAAAATAGTAGAAATGGTTCAGAATTTTTCAGGGCAGGACTACTGCTCTTTAAAGGTTATCATATCAAGGAGATGGCAGTATGCTGATCATTTTGACAACAGTCCGTCAGAGATTTTAATTTTCTTCAATGAGAATCTGATTGTAAAGACAGTTCTCCTATCTCCAGACGGTTAAAAGTACTCAGTACAGTGTTTAACAGTGAAAGATTAACAGTGTTTCTTTGTGAAAGATTTCTCACTCCTTCACTCCAGTGGTTATTTTCTGATTTGGCCATTAGCCCAGGCAAGGAGGTTTTATGGGCAGAGTGCTCCATTCTTGGCAAGACCATTTGTGTGCAGAAGCCCTGAAGGCGAATATGGTCCTGAATATGAAAGTTTTTAGACTTTCCCCTGAATGCTGCTGGTTGTGAAATGGACTGTTGTGATAGGAATACTGCACAACCTATGTCTGATAAGAAACTGCTGCTACTGTCAGTTAACAGCCTTAGTGATTACTTGCATGCTATGAAAGAGGCACAGAACAAGCAGGTGACAGCCTTGCTGCCTGCTTTGTGAGCAGGGCTTCCTGAGATGAGGTGTGTGGTACAGAGTCTTGTGCAAACTCTCTTTGAATAGTGGTTCTGAGGGTCCTCAGCTAGGTATTAGAAATAGATGAAGAAGAGCATAAGAGCAGTTGTTGTACCTTTTTCTTAACCTGTCTTAAATGGGCAGAGTTTTAGTATGTTTTGTAGTTCACTGCTCACCAAAGATCTGGACCAAGGACTGGTCCTAATTACTTGATCACAATGCCCATCAACCTGGAACAAAAGCAGAGGTGAGAGTTGTCAGGAGTGTTGGAGCTAATCCAGCAGGTTGAAGATGTTGCATTCATCACAGATGTCTGTAGACCTTCTGGAAACTCTGGCTTCCTCTGTGTGCAGACAATAGGGGAAATAATAGGTATGAAGAGATGTGATTGTTTTGACACCATAAATGGTCACTACCAGTATCTAGTTTGACCATTCATCATAACAGTGGACCTTGGTTTTGCCCAGTGACTTCTGCAGCTGGCTGGGAACCTATGAGATTATATTTCAGAATCTGGATCAAGATTTTCTAAATGAGGAGTGACCATGTTGACAAACAGGCCAGTGTCATGTTTGACTGCACTTACTTTTAAAAACTGAGATTGTCTGCCACATCAAACTTGTTGTCTCCTACTGTGGGATTTGACAGAGTCTGGGGCATGGGCCACTCTAAGTGCTTGGAAACGATGACTCCGTCTCTATTAATAAATAAAGCGGTTGTCCTGTGGTCGTGAACACTGTTGAGCTCATTGTTCAAACAGATTAACTCCCTGCCCCCCACAAAAATAGAGTGGCTATGTCCAGGCTTCCTATCAAGAAAGGTCACTGGCCTGTATTTGCCTGTGAATGCGTGAGAATTGTAGAGGAGGATGTTTGTTGGCCCTGGTGAGCACATCTGGGACTGTGCTAACACTTCAATAGTATGGACTCGAGTAGGACTGCAGGCCCATGCCCTGCTGCCAAGTTGTTTACTGTGTGTTTATAGCCAAAGTGAGGAACATGATGAAATTGGTCAACTCTCACAGTTGTCAAGATCAAACTGTAACAAGAAGTTGGAACTCTAAAAGCTTCAAATGTCAAGAGTTCCTGTGGGGGACAGCTCCAGTTGCTGCGCACCCTCCTGTGTCCCAGGCTATTGTTTTGGCATTAACTAGGATGTTGGAGTGCCTCCCATGTTTCACCATTTGTGAGGGTATAATTTGCTTGTAGGAATTCTTTCCCAGCACCCACCAAGTCAGTTGTTGCAACTTTTTTCAGTGAAGAGCAGGGAGACTGCAGCAGTCTTGGGCTCTTAAACAAGTCACATGGAGGGGTTTTTTTAATTCTAAATTGAAATTTCTTCTTTTGGATTTGCACCCTTTTCTAGCAGTGCTTTTATCAGTGTAATTATGGAGCTATGAATATGTCCATGCTGTCCACGTAGCTGTAGAGATTCTCTAGCATGTGCACTGCTCTCAGGGTTAAATTTGTCAATGGATAAGCAATGGAAAAATTGTTTATAGTGTTAGTAAGATTATTAATCCCAGAGGGCCTTCTCCCCAAATTTACCTCTGTAGCTAAAGCAAAAGGAAAGAGTTATTTGGAGAAGGGCAACAAACAAGACTGGGTAAATACCTGACTATTAATAGAATTTCTCAGTACATGTGGTTTGAAGAATATAAAAGGCTTTCATAAGAAAGAGTAGCTGGTATCTGGCATCCTCTCTGTGTAATGAGGATGGAAGAGTTGCTGCAGTTTTTTTGAACTTAAGTGAAAACATATGGCACAGCATACATAAACTAAACAGACGTGATCAATGTAATATTTTTTCCATGCATTTGTTCAGTAATTGTGTCACTGCTTAGCAGTAATTATAGGTCTTCACTTCCACCTTTGTTCCTGCTGAGTTGTTTTGAGCAGAGAGGCTGCTTTGTTGGCCCTGA